AAAGTCTAATTAAAAGATAAACAGTTCGATCTGATTCGCTGTGAGAGTCGATTTGATCCGATTCGGTCCGATGTGAATCGAATCGTTGTCCACCCCTAGTATCCACTATATGGGATGGTAGAAGTTGGATGGTATCCATAATGTGGGATGCTACCATCCACTTTGAGGTTGGATGGGTACCCTGAGACTGGACACATGGTGACCAAGTACCAGATGGTCACTCAAGTAGTATTTCAAAGGGGAAATATTTTGGTGTAAACAAATACCCCCCACAACTTAGTTCATAAGAGATTATGAACTAAGTTGTTGACACCAACTTGTACCAAACCACACGCATCAACCAGGAGTCCCCTTCCTTCATGGCCAAGTCACCCATGACAGTAATTTATCTCATTTCCAACTCTGACTCGGCCAAAAATACTATTTTTTTTCTTTTTCCTATTGGCTTATGGAAAAGACAAGCAAATTAATTAATCCTTAAATAGCCAAACATTAACCGCCACCATTGCAACGTGGCTTTAATAAAACCTTCACCTTATCTTATAAGGAATACAAATCCTTTTTCACGTCGGGCACAGGATCTTAACCCATATCCTTTTTGACATCCTTACATGTGGTCTCATGCTCCCGTCCCTACTTTAGGATATTAACTTGCCCTCTTGCTGGAGACTTTGACAAATTGTCCAGTAAAGGATCACAACGAGGTAAACCAAATTTTTTTACTTTGAATTTTGACCTATGGTCACCATTCCAACACTGAGACGTGTATTTAGTAACCATCATTGCAACATCTTATGACTTGGTAGAATGTGATAAAACATCATTCCACCTAGAATATTGCTTTTGTCTCAGCTTGCCAAGAAATGGAATGACATGTGTCCGTAGCAGCTTAACTTAACCATTACTATCAAGTTCCTCCTTATGATTCTCTTTTGAACTCCCAGATGATATGCATATCGTGTATTTCACTTTTAATATTCCTAGAAGCATGTTTACATATACTTCTTTGCAATGGCTTTCGTAAGCAATCTCCAATTTTTGTACCCTTATAAGAAATGTTGTTTATAGGAACAAACACATTTGAATTTCTTGCTTCTGGCAACAGTGTTGATGTCAAAATAGGGGATGACTCCTTATTAACATTATCTAATCCACGACCGATTTCATCATTGAGAGATCTGGCTTCTTTAACATTTTTACCAGTTAAGCACGACAAGTTAGATTGACCGCTACTTTTACTATGACATTTTGGATTGTCCATCGAAATGGCTAGACACCCAACTTTTTCATTAACTAATTGTGGTTGACTTCCTAAGCCACAAACTTCGTCAGTGCTTACTGTTCCAATTTTCTCATTCACCAAATCTATGTCGCTCACCAACAAGATTTTTGTAGGTATAGTGGATGCATCATGCATAATTTCATGCTTTGACATTTCAAAATCACAAACATATCTATCAATCATCCTATCACAGGCTTTCTCAAATCTTTGTTCGAGATGATCAAGATGCTTATGTATAGAGGCAATGTAAAGATTTACCTGTTGGCCGATTTTATAGAGTACAACCACCATTTGATGAATCTCCTCAATCATTTGGCGGAGTGAGGGCACTGCTTCACCTATATCTATACTTGACACCATGGTTGACACCGTTGCTTCAACAATGTTGCCTGAAGTCCCTCCTACTTGGTCAATCTCAACATTGACTAACTGCTCCTCCTCCACAAAACCTTGTGGAAGATCATCTTCTTGCTGCCTCCGTCGTGAAGCTATACTAAACACACGTGTTCCACTATGTTTGCCAATTTGTTAATGGTGGAAAATGGGTGGATGGGTTGCACCTGACTTCTATGAAGGTGACGATTGTAACTAGTAACTACGGTCCACACCTCTTCGAACAATGTTCGAACGAGGGTGTTTGGTGTATGTGGAATCTACGTTACCTTACACTACTCGTATGGTGATTGCTTGAGAGCTCCGTGACTATACCTAATACTACTGCTATGGAGGATCCTTCATGTAGGAGAGCTTCGCAAATTATAGAGAAAAAGAAAAAAGGGACAGTTGAGACAAGTTGTCTTTGTGTTGAATTGTGATTGTCAGCCTGCTCCAGAAGGTTGTTTCCAGTTATGTTGTGCTGAGTCCTCCAACTTCTCTCTCTCTCTCTCTCTCTCTCTCTCTCTCTCTCTCTCTCTCCTCCTCCCAAAAAGTAGCTCCGCTTAGCCTCTACGCAAGTCAGTTGTCGCCAAGAAGTCTCTGGACATGTCAGCACATCATCTTATGTCAACATGGATGGTACCATTCATATAGTACTTTGGATAGTATCCATGATATGGGATGATCACCATCCAATTAGTCCTTTGGATGGTGTCCCTGATGTGGGATGGTACCATCCAATTAATACCTTAGATGGTGTCCACGATATGGGATGGTACCATCCACCTAGGGTTGGATGATATCCATGATGTGTGATGGTCACCATCTACTATGAGGTTGGATGGTGTCCACTAATATTGGATGGTACCATCCACTTAGAGGTTGGATGATATACATAATGTGGGATGGTCACCATCCACGAAGAGATTGGATGGTGTCCACTATATGAGATGGTACCATCCAATTAGAGGCTGGATGGTATACATAATGTGGGATGCTACCATCCACTTTGAGGTTGGATGGGTACCCAGACTGGACACATGGTGACCAAGTACCAGATGGTCACTCAAGTAGTATTTCAAGGGGGAAAATATTTTGGTGTAAACAACTTTGGAATAGATGTCGGCGTCTATCAACCGCGAATCGTCTGCCATGAAAGTGGGAAACCAATGGTAGTGGAATCGAGGGGAGCTAGAGCCAGATCTAGAGTTCAATGGAAGATAGAGAGGAAAGGTCGAACGAAGTAGAGAGACGGGGAAGTGAGAGAAGGAGGGATGGGATAAAGCAAAGAAATTCTCACTTTGGTGGTCTAGTGATGGCAATTTAAACTCACCCAACAGGTATTACCCGACCTGGCCCGTGATGGGGCGGGTATCACCCGACCCCCAGTAGTATGGGACGGGGCATGGTATCTACTTCCGACCCTCTCTGCCCTGCCCCGTTATTGACCCATTTTATCTCAAATTCTTACGGTATTTATACATATTTCTCCCATTTTGACCTTTTTCAACTAGTTAGAGTCTATCTTTCAACTTGTTAGACTCAATTACCCATTCTATTATCACTATTTTTAATTCATAGAGTGTATTCCTAATTGTTTTATCATAAAAAGTAAAGTTTAAGTGTATTTTTTTCAAATAACATGAAAGAGAGGGTCGCCCCGTACCCGCGCGGATTTTACTTGCCCCGACTCACAATATCGTGGGGCGGGACATGAGTATTGAGGTACCCGCCTCGCCCCATTGCCATCACTACGGTTGTCCCTCCGCTTACTGCTAAGCTCTGGCTAGCCCGCTCTCATTTAGTCATTTTAGGACAAATCAAGCCATTCCTCAAGCCAACAAATTACAACCATTCATTTTGTTTTCTGTTGATATGGACAAATCCCGACATGCTCATGAATTTGGTTGTAAGTATAATAGCCGGATTGCCCGGTCGCCCTTGCTTGAATGCATGTGCTCATCGCCTTTTGTTAGGCCAAGTCCAATGCAACACCCCAAATTTTGGGGCATTGAACCCCAAATTTGGGGAACCCCATTTTCCCTTCTTTTGCTCCAATGCAACAAACTCCATATTTGGGGTTCTTAATATTTCCAATTTTTTCATTTATTTAAAACTGTACTTATCGAAACTTTAACATAATTTGTTCATGTTAATTTTTGTATAGTTCGTCATCATTTTTAAATACAAATTTTTCGATAGAATTTTGTTAAATTTCGAGACCGAATTTTTTTTAGCAAAAAATTATGAACCTAATTTGGGTTTACACACAACACTTGAAAATGATAAAGGTTAACGAGTTGACATAATAATTCAAATGACACAATTCATAGGTTACACACAACACTTGCTAATCATAAAACTTAAATATTACACACAACACTTGAAAATGATAAAGTTTAAAAATAACACACAACACTTGAAATGATAAAAAAGAAACACATAACATGTCAATATTCACCAAGAAGGGAATAGTAATTCCCGTAATCTCCTCCACCTTCATCTCCTCCTCCATTTCCATCTCCACCTCCAGTTTGACTTGCGTTGGATGAATAGTCGGGAACAGAGTTGGGATCGATGATGTGATGCTTTGTAATTCAATTAAAGTTGTAGTTGGTGACAATTTATTTTGTAATTTACAAACACATTTTCATTTTCATAATATAATTTCCATTCTTAGTCGATCTAATTTTTGTTTACACACAACTTAAAGATGATAAACATAAATTTTAAATAAAATGAATTCAATTTAATTCCCCTTCCCTTAATTAATTCAATTTAATTCCCCTTCCCCTAATTAATTACATTCAATTCTCTTAAGCAAATTCCCTAATTAATTATATTCAACTCCCTTAATAATTGCCTTAAATAACTCGGCAACAATTAAAAAAAAAAACCTGTTGGGCGGCACACTCGGCCTCCATAAATGCCGAAATCGGCAAACCCTCCCCCATATATAGCGATCCAATTGCCGATCGCCTCCATAATTGCCGATTTTCGTCATTTATTTCTCTGCGTTGGAACTCCCCGATCGCCATTAATGCCGACAACCCCATAAATGCAGGCTCCATTGGACTCAGCCTTAGTCGTTTTTCCTGGTCAAAAAGGGGACAGCCACCAACAGTCGTCATCTTTGTTACTATGCAGTATGCATAAATAAACATCCTTATCCCATTGAACTTATTATATAGCTTATGTCCATCAGCAATCAGCATTGCCAACTTGGGGTTGCGACAATCTTTGTTGCATTAGCTTCGTGTTTATCCACCAGCATTTATTCTAGCTTGAATTCTAGAATTGCAGAGTACCTTCTTCACAAAACAGAGAGTAACTAATCACTAAAATGGCGTCCATAGCCAACGAGTCCTCTGCCGCCTACGATCGCCTAGCCGAGCTCAAGGCATTCAACGACACAAAAGCCGGCGTCAAAGGTCTGGTAGATTCCGGAATCACCCACCTCCCCCGCATCTTCCACTTCCCGCCCCACCTTCTCGACAACAGACCATCGATTCCCGCCGGCAACCCAAACTTCACTTTCCCGGTCATCGACCTCAACCTTGACGGCGTTAATTCAGACTCCGACAAGCGGAACAGAGTCGTTGAAAAAATCCGCGACGCGTCATCAAATTGGGGATTCTTCCAGGTGGTCAACCACGGTATCCCCGAAACCCTCCTCGACGAGATGAAAGCCGGCGTCCACAAATTTCACGACCAGACTGTCGAGCTGAAGAAGCAATTCTACGGCCGCGACCCGACCAAGAAAGTCTACTACAACAGCAACTTCGACCTGTTCGACGCCCCCGCCGCCAGCTGGAGGGACTCCGGCGCTGTTCCACGTGGCGCCCGATCCGCCCAGCCCCGACGAGATGCCCGCTTGCTGCAGGGACGTCCTGACGCGCTACTCCGAGGAGATGCTGAGATTCGGGGATTTGCTGTTTGGGCTGCTGTCCGAGGCTCTGGGCTTGAGGCCCAATCATCTCAAGGAGATGGGCTGCGCCGACGGGTTGCTGATCGGGTGCCATTACTATCCGCCGTGTCCTCAGCCGGAGCTCACTCTGGGCGTGGACAAGCATTCCGATGTCGACTTCGCCACCGTGCTTTTGCAAGATCACGTTGGAGGGTTTCAGGTTCTTTATCGAGATTGTTGGGTCGATGTGCCTCCTCTGGCGGGAGGTCTGGTTGTTAACATCGGTGATATGCTTCAGGCAAGATCTTGTTGTTTTTGGGTTTTTGGTATATTTTTTTTAGAGGAGTTTTTGTTGGAAATTTGGTCGAACCAGGTAATATGGGCTAGACCGATTGGACCAACCAAGACCACGTTGAAATTTGGTGGCAAGCAAATTGTTTTGGAATTGTGTTCATTTAAATTTGAAAGCCACCATTCCATGTAATGGTTGCTCCACGTTGCCTTGGTTTGCCATGCATGGCGACTGTTCATGCAATTTAATAAGGCAATGTTTAGTTTGATAATGGCTACGGTTGGGGGACCTTGCTCCATGAAGAGATACGTCTTCTCAGGAGGCAAATTGTATGGTTCCTGCAACCGGTAAGCCAATCAAATTAAACAAACATAACCTTTCCTCATGGCAACAATTCATTTGAAATGAATAGACATGTTGCTTGGCCAAAAGCCAACCGATCAGGATGAAGGGTTGTAACCTTTCGATGCCTTCCATTGTCATCTATAAATAGATGGGATCGGCTAGTGGGAGAGGACACACCGGAATTTATTCTTTCTTCCTACTAAATACTTCTAAGTATACTTTAGTTTCTTAAGCCTAGATTCTAAAGTGGTGATAGTTTTATCCTACGAAGAAATTTCCTGTAACCCTAGGCTTGTTGAGGGTGGAAATATTCTTTACGGAAAGTGAACTTTATTCACGACTCTATCATAATCCTAGTCACCCGGTCTCGGGCTTTCGTACAAATACCCTCTTCCCTCTTTTTCTAACAATCGTAAAGAATATTTCTCTTGTACGATGGCTCGTACTTCTCCTTACAAGGAACCTTCTCTCCATGGGAAAATTGAGAAATTCGATGGGGAACATTTCCGTCGATGGCAAAAGAAGATGCGTTTTCTTCTTACTACTCTCAAGGTGGGGTATGTGATTAGTACCCCATGTCCAGAATGTAACTTGGAGGAGGAAGGGGTCGACAATGAGGAATTGAAGAAGCGACTTCGTAAAATGAAGAAGTGGGAAAATGACAACTACCTTTGTGTAGGGCACATACTCAATGGTTTGTCGGACTCCCTATTCGACATTTACGAAATGTATGCTAATGCCTCGGAACTTTGGGATGCATTAGAGGCAAAGTATTTGGCCGATGATGCATCGACCAAGAAGTTTCTTGTAAGTAATTTCAACACTTACAAGATGAGCGATTCTCGCCCAGTGATGGAGCAATATAACGAATTACTTCGAATCTATGGTCAGTTTACTCAACACAATCTGAACATGGATGAGGCGATCGCTGTGTCGAGTATAATCGACAAACTGCCACCTTCTTGGAAGGACTTCAAGCACATGCTTAAGCATAAGAAGGAAGAGTTGGATTTAACCCAACTAGGTACCCACTTGCGCATAGAGGAGAACCTTAGGGTGCAAGAGGGTGTGAAGCCAAAAGATTCTTCATCGGTTCATATGATGGAGATTGAAGAGTCTTCTTTCCAGAAAAAGGGAAAGAAACGTTCTCGTGAAAAGGGCAACAATTCATCCAAGGCCAACAAGAACAAGAAGGCTAAACCTTCTTGTTGGAAATGCGGAAAACCGGGGCATTTCAAGCGTGATTGTCTCATGGAAAAATCAAAGAATAATGGCAATCGTCATGTTGGGCAAGGATCTAACGATCTAGGCCCACAAGGTCGTATTCCCACTTTTGATTTTGAATTTGATCCAAATTCGGGTATGAATTATGTTTCACTAATTAATGAAGCATATTTTGTACAGGATGATGATGTTGCTTGGTGGGTTGACTCTGGAGCTAACATACACGTAAGCAAGGATCGCAAATGGTTCAAAACTTACAAACCAGTGGAAGACGGTTGTGTTCTCCACATGGGCAATGAGTCAACTGCTCCAGTCGAAGGACGTGGCACCGTAGAGTTGGAATTTACTTCCGGAAAGATTCTTGTACTTAGGGATGTGTTACATGTACCTAAGATTAGAAAAAATTTGGTTTCTGGAAGTGTACTAAATAAGCTTGGATATCGTCAAGTTTATGACTCTGATAGATATGTATTATCTAAATCCGGAGTATTTGTCGGATTTGGTTATTATAATAATGGTATGTTTATGTTGAATATTATTAATAAAATTAATAATATTGTTTCCGCTTACATGACTACCCTTATTGATTCGTCTTTATGGCATGCACGATTGGGACATGTGAATTATAAGCGAATGATGACTATGTCTAAAGAAGGACTTCTTCCTTCTTTTGATGCTCAACATGATAAATGTAAAACTTGTATGTTGACAAAAATCACTAGAGAGCCGTTTAAGAACGTGCAAAGGGAGTCCAAGGTGCTTGGACTTGTACACAGTGATCTATGTGATTTACATGGCACTCCTACCTTAGGAGGAAAGAAATATGTTATCACCTTTATTGATGACTATTCGAGGTTTTGCTATGTGTACTTGTTGCAAACTAAGGATGAAGCCCTTAGTCGCTTTGGTATATATAAAACTGAAGTGGAGTTACAACAAGAAGCAAAGATTAAAACTTTGCGCACAGATCGAGGTGGTGAATACTATGATCCGGCTTACTTCCAAAGTACGGGGATCATACATGAGACCTCTGCACCGTTTACCCCTCAACAAAATGGGATAGCGGAGAGGAAAAATCGCTCTCTAAAGGAAATGGTCAATTCCATGCTCTCTTACTCTGGTTTGAGTAATGGGTTTTGGGGGGAAGCTATGCTAACGGCTTGCTATTTATTAAATAGGGTTCCCAATAAAAGGAATGTCACTACCCCCTATGAACTATGGTATAAACGAAAGCCAAACTTGGATTATCTTCGAGTTTGGGGTTGTAGGGCAGTCGTGCGACTAACGGATCCTAAAAGGAAGACGTTAGGAGAAAGAGGCATTGATTGCATCTTTGTAGGATATGCCGAAAATTCTAAGGCATACCGGTTCTATGTTATAGAACAAAATGACGCTTACTCAATTCATTCTATAATTGAGTCAAGAGACGCCATATTTGATGAAAATCGATTTTCATCAATGCAACGACCAAAAGACATAGTTCCTCGTGTCAATGAGGGGATTGAGGAAGATACTTCACAATCAAGTTTACCCATTATTCGTCAAAGTAAAAGAAGAAAGATTGCAAAATCTTTCGGACCAGACTTTCAAATGTATCTTGTGGAAGGATCTAGAGAGGAAGTACACTCTCAATATTTATATTCATTTAATATTGAGGATGATCCTAAAACTTTTGATGAGGCTATGAAGTCTCGTGACGCTGCCTTTTGGAAGGAAGCTATTAATGATGAAAAAGATTCCATCATGGCAAACAACACATGGGTGTTGGTAGATTTACCACCTGGATGCAAACCTTTGGGTAGTAAATGGATCTTCAAAAAGAAAAGAAGAGTCGATGGGACCATCGATAAGTTTAAGACGCGTTTGGTAATCCAAGGTTTTAGACAAAAACATGGGATTGATTACTTTGATACTTACGCGCCTGTTGCTCGAATCTCCACCATTAGATTGTTGATTTCTCTTGCATCAATTCACAATCTAATTATCCATCAAATGGATGTTAAGACAGCATTCTTGAATGGAGATTTGGATGAAGAGATTTACATGAAACAACCCGAAGGATTTGTGGTGCCTGGTCAAGAGCATAAAGTGTGTAAATTGATCAAATCATTGTATGGGCTTAAACAAGCTCCAAAGCAGTGGCATCAAAAGTTTGATGAGGTGGTTTTGTCTAGTGGTTTTAAATTAAACCAAGCTGACAAATGTGTATATACAAAATTTGATGATTCTGGTAATGGAGTCATCATATGTTTGTATGTAGATGACATGCTTATCTTTGGTACCAATCAAAGACAAGTGGACCTCACTAAGGAGTTTTTGTCATCTAAATTCTCCATGAAGGACATGGGGGAGGCAGATGTGATTCTGGGTATCAAGATCAAGCGAAACGGCAAGGAAGTAGCTTTGACTCAATCTCATTACATTGAGAAGTTACTTGATAAATTTCATAGTGAAGTTTGTCGTGAATTAAAAACCCCAATGGATCCAAGTATGAAACTTTTTCCTAATACTGGGGAACCTGTTTCACAATTGGAATACTCCAAGGTTATTGGCTGCTTGATGTATGCAATGACTTGCACAAGACCAGATATCGCATATGCGGTAGGACAATTAAGTCGGTATACGAGTAATCCTAGTACTCATCATTGGCATGCAGTGAGACGTGTACTAGGCTATCTCAAAGGCACAATGCATTATGCTTTGACTTATAGTGGATTTCCATCTATCTTGGAAGGCTATACTGATGCTAGTTGGATTTCTGATGTTCAAGATCATACTTCAACTTCAGGATGGGTCTTTTTGCTTGGGGGAGGTGCTATCTCTTGGGCTTCTAAAAAGCAAACTTGCATCACAAGTTCCACTATGGAGTCAGAATTTGTGGCCTTGGCTTCTGCTGGAGGAGAGGCAGAGTGGTTAAGAGACTTGGTTTATGACATCCCTTTATGGCCTAAACCTATCTCACCAATTTCTATCCTTTGTGATAGTAAAGCTACTTTGGCTAAGGCATATAGTCAAATGTATAATGGCAAGTCTCGCCATTTGGGAGTAAGACATAGTAAAATTCGTGAATTGATCACTCACGGAGTTGTGTCTTTACAGTATGTCCGGACTCAAGAGAATTTAGCTGATCATTTGACGAAAGGGTTAGCTAGAGACTTGGTAGTCAAGTCTGTAAAAGGGATGGGTTTAAAGTCCATATAATTTCTGATCATGGGACACCCAATTCCCCTCTAATACAACGTTAGAGGCTGAATTCAATGTGGAAAGCTTATTATCAGAAATTGAAGCACACAATTTATCATCCCGAGGTATGTGCTTGTTGTCCTGCATGAGAGAAGAGGATGAAGTTTAACTTCTTAATTGAATCTTTGACAAAGTGTATTGTGCAGGTACACAAATTAAAGATTCAACCTATGTAAGCATGAAGTGCGGCCGCTTCAAGAAACCCGGACTTTGGTTTCGTGTGCGCTTACGAGAAGGATTGGACACATGGCGGATAATAGTGTCAAGGCGCTTAGAAGTTTTGAAAACTTAAGTGTATATTATCTTCGAATATTCATATGAGTCAACGGGTTCAATCGTTACCGACACCCTTTGTATTCGAATATTTGTCAAGTGTAATATACTAAGGTGAAAATTCAATCGTCACGACATTTTCATTTATGCTTAAGTTTTATTGGAAGAATGTTGTAATTTTAGTGGATTCCTTGAATGCACTAAAATGGGGGAGGAATGTTGGAAATTTGGTCGAACCAGGTAATATGGGCTAGACCGATTGGACCAACCAAGACCACGTTGAAATTTGGTGGCAAGCAAATTGTTTTGGAATTGTGTTCATTTAAATTTGAAAGCCACCATTCCATGTAATGGTTGCTCCACGTTGCCTTGGTTTGCCATGCATGGCGACTGTTCATGCAATTTAATAAGGCAATGTTTAGTTTGATAATGGCTACGGTTGGGGGACCTTGCTCCATGAAGAGATACGTCTTCTCAGGAGGCAAATTGTATGGTTCCTGCAACCGGTAAGCCAATCAAATTAAACAAACATAACCTTTCCTCATGGCAACAATTCATTTGAAATGAATAGACATGTTGCTTGGCCAAAAGCCAACCGATCAGGATGAAGGGTTGTAACCTTTCGATGCCTTCCATTGTCATCTATAAATAGATGGGATCGGCTAGTGGGAGAGGACACACCGGAATTTATTCTTTCTTCCTACTAAATACTTCTAAGTATACTTTAGTTTCTTAAGCCTAGATTCTAAAGTGGTGATAGTTTTATCCTACGAAGAAATTTCCTGTAACCCTAGGCTTGTTGAGGGTGGAAATATTCTTTACGGAAAGTGAACTTTATTCACGACTCTATCATAATCCTAGTCACCCGGTCTCGGGCTTTCGTACAAATACCCTCTTCCCTCTTTTTCTAACAGTTTTTCATTATGTGATTTGGGTGTGTGAAATGTTATATCTTGTGCTTTACTTTTTGCAGCTGATATCGAATGACGAGTTTATAAGTGCGCAACACAGAGTTCTGTCTAAAAGGATCGGACCCAGAGTGTCTATACCGGCATTTTTCAGTTCTGGATTTTCACAGAATCCAAGAGTTTACGGACCCATAAAGGAGTTGTTGTCGGAAAATAGCCCTCCTAGATATCGGGAGACCACGACTCAAAACTATCGTGCCCATTACTACAACAAAGGCCTTGATGGGAAGTCTAGACTGCTGGATTTTAAGCTCTAGGAATGTGGATGCTCATGAATGTTGGAGAAAAAAGGGTGAATCCTTGTTGCAGAAGGATTAGAAGTCGGGGTCTAGAAGTCGGTTTGGAATAAGAGTCTATTTCTTTGGTCAAGACTACATTGTTTTGAGTTATTTCGGTTTATTTGCTAAAGTTGTGATTTGTATCAGTTGAGTTCGTTTGTGAGTTGTAAGCAGAGCAGAGAATTTGGAGCTGAATTAGTTAGTCATGTTTGTTGGTTTTTAAAGTTAAGACTTAAGAGGTTAGTATACGTCAGGGGAGAGCGAGATTGTTGGGAGATTTTTGAGTTGTTGAGAGTACTTATTATTCCCTTTCAACATTTCAATAAAATTTGTCAAATTGTCTTTATTGAACTTTTACAATGAACATTTATGCTTTAGATTTTTTTTTTTGACAAAAGATAATCTTATAAAGATCAAAAGAGATAGTTACATTCTGGATGACAGCCAGGCCTGGAAATCAAAGAAACCATCCATAGCCGGGTACAAAGAAAGGGCCTTCCCAGCCACCAAATGGGCTACCCTATTACTACGCCGACCTATAAACTGAACACTAAACCCAGGATAGCTGTTAAAACAATGCAAAACTTCCTCCAGAACAGCTCCTACTTGGTTATCTCTTGCATCCGCATGATTGATCTTATCAATGAGCACCTTCGCGTCCCCTTCAAATTTTACTACCGATAGGCCAATCGAAAGGCACCACACAATAGCCTCCCGGAGGGCAAGCAATTCCAGAACCATCGGGTCATCCACCTCTGGAAAAAGAATCCCTTTCACCAACCAAAGTTGTCTTGACGGAGTGAGCAGAACAATCCCACCCGCACCATGCGACCCCCTCCTCACTGCCCCATCCCATAAACAGACCGCACTATCATCCGCATTACCGCCAACAGGGAGGGCCACAGGAGGCACCACCACAGGGGAACCCATCCCAGGAGGCCTGTCCACAGGCAGGCGCACCCACTCCTCGTACTGTTGATGGAATTGCCGCAACAAAGCCGGAAAACCATACTGTTTGCCTTCAAAAACAACCCAGTTTCGCGACCGCCATATCCGCCACAGGACAGCCACCACTGCCATTAATAAAGCAGGTTAATGGATCCGACCCAAAAGTTGCTTCAGGAACATAGGGAAAGTATGTCTAGGGAGCCCCTCCCCTAGATAATCCAGGCCAGAATGCACCCAAAGGGCGCGAGCCACAGAACAATTCAAGAACAAGTGCTCCATCGATTCCGCAGCATCCCAGCAAATCGGACATCTAGGATGCACCTGGACTCGTTTCTCAATAAGGGCCTCCGTAGTCGGCAAAATTCGATTAAGGATCTGCCAAACAAAAACTTTAAGTTTAGGCGGAATATCCGCATCCCACAAACGAATCCAGGACTCCTTATCCATCCAACCCACCATAGCTCTCCACCCCCCTCTCCTTCTATCAATATCCACAGCTAAATGATAAGCCGATTTTACCGTGAAGACCCCATCCCTCGCACCATGCCAGATTACCTTGTCCCTAACATCCAGTCTAGGGAGCGGGATTGCTTTAATGGCTTTACAGGTAGGGGGATCAAACTAACGACTTAACCTGTCATCATCCCAACCTCCCCCCCCCCAGGACGCATGACCTCTGCCACAGGGGGATCACCCCCATCTGGCAGGACCCGAGGGTTAAAACAAGGGGGAGTGTGCTGAAGCCGCGGAATCCAACTCGAGTTAAGCAACGACGCAGTCTGCCCATTACCAATCTGCCACCGTAACCCCTGCGCCAGTAAATCCCTCCCAAAGAGGATACTTTGCCACCCCCACGATGGGCGGGACCGAGCTTTGGCCTCAAGGAACGACCCGTTAGGGAAGTATTTACCTTTGTAAACTTTTGCCAGAAGGGACTCAGGTTCCATCAGAATACGCCACCCAATCTTAGCCAACAGAGCCTGATTGAATTGCTCAAACCGACGAACCCCCAGTCCCCCCTCATGCTTGCTACGACACAGATTACGCCACGAGACCCACCGCAGTCGTGAATGATCCTCTTCATCCCCCACCAGAACCGGGCCACATGTCTATCCAGGAGCCGACACAACACAAGAGGTAGCTTAAAACAGGACATCACATGTAAAGGCAAGGCGAGAGCAACCGATTTAATCAAGGTTTCCTTCGCCGCCCATGACAAAGTCCTTCTTTTCCATCCCTGAAGACGTTCCAGCAGTTTCTCCTCCAAATACCAGAACGTGGCCATCTTGGACCGCGCAATAAGGGTAGGCAGACCAAGATATTTATCATGAACCCCTACCGCTCCCACTCCTAATATCGCAGCCAAAAATTCCTGATCAGCACGGACAATATTCTTACTGAAGCATACTGCTGACTTGGCCAAATTCACCTTCTGGCCACTCAATTCCTCATAATCATTCAGGACCTCAATCAAATTCTCACATTCCCTGAGGGTGCCCCGTAAAAATAGATACGAGTCATCAGCAAAAAACAAGTGTGAGATTCGCGGCGCACGAGGAGCCACTTTCACCCCTTCCAACTTTTTATCCGCAATAGCCTTGCGAAGGAGGGCCGCAAACCCTTCAGTACAAAGCACGAACAAAAGAGGGGAGAGGGGATCCCCTTGCCGAAGCCCCCGGGAAGGAGAGAAGTACCCAGAGGGAGTCCCATTCATTAGAACCGAATAAGAGGAAGACTGGAGACACTCCCGAATCCACCCTTGCTAGATACTGTTAAAGCCCATCTTATCCAAAACCGCAAGAAGAAACGGCCACTCGACTCTATCATAGGCCTTTTCCATGTCAACCTTTAGAGCCATGTACCCTTTCTTACCCCGCGTTTTGATTTTAAGATAATGCATCAACTCGTGGCCCAGAAGAACATTCTCAACAATTTGACGTTCCCGGATGAACGCATTTTGCCCCTCCGAAACAATTGCAGGCAGGAACTCAGCCAGCCGTTCTGCCATAATTTTTGTGATAATTTTATAAACAAAATGGCATAAACTGATTGGACGCAATTGTCTCATAGATTCCACATTATCTACCTTGGGGATCAAGGTAAGCCACGTATGATTGAAGCTGCGGAGCATCCGACTAGTAACAAAGAAGGACCGTACAGCCGCAACCACCGTCTCACCCACAATATCCCAGAAGGCTTTAAAAAACTTCTCAGTGAATCCATCAGACCCAGGAGCCTGCTTAGACCCCATAGCAAACACCGTTTTATGAATCTCGGCGGGAAGAACCTCAGCCGTAAGGCTAGCATTCATCTCAGGGGTAACACTATGAGCTATAGGCAAGGACGCCACCCGCTCAGCCATGTTCTCGACCTGATTCTCCGGCGTAAAAAGGTGTTGATAGAAAGACGTAGCAACTCCTGCCTTCTCACTTTCATTGGTGACCCACTCCCCATTATCATTCCGAAGACCAGCCACGAAATTTCTTTTACGTCGCGCTCGAGTCACCGTATGAAAGTAGGAAGTATTCTTATCCCCTTTCTTCAACCAATGAACCCTGGACTTCTGTTGCCAGTAAAGTTCCTCCGCTTCCCATTGTCGATTCAATTCCATCTCTAACTCCCGGATCACATCCCAATCAATTGGATGGACGGATTTAACCCTCTCAATCTCGCTTTGGAGAGTCCGAATGTTCCGCAAGGAATTGGTAGTACCAGCCCTACTCCAGTCATACAAGAGATGACGAAGCTTCTTCAGACGCTCCCAAAGGCAGAACATGGGGGTACCCTGGATATCCTCCTTCCAGACATAAGTAACCATAGCTCGAACTTCGGGATTCTCCGCCCAGCGAGCATCAAAGCGGAATAAAGGACGACTATTCCGAACATAAGGCTTGTCCGACAGGAGGAGGGCTCTATGATCAGAACCTTGATCAGTAAAGTGTTTGACCAAGGTATCCGGGAAACGATCGATCCAGGGCTGAGAGCAGAGGGCTCTATCCAGCCGCTCGCGGATACAGGCACTACCCATCCTTCTGTTGGTCCAGGTAAAGAGGTCGCCTTGGTACCCCGGATCATGGAGACCCAAATCATCAATAAACTCGCGCAAACTGATGGAAGAATTGACATTCCAAGGGTTTCCCCCATCTTTCTCACTCACACTAAGGATAGTATTGAAGTCACCAATCACCACGTAGGGGAGATGGAAAGTAGAACATATGTTCCGAAGATGCGCCAACTGGGTTGTTCGAATAGCAGCAGAACAACTAATATAACACACAAACCACAATATAAGAAAACTCCACTTCATTAACTTGGGAACAAATACAAAAGTTGGAAGAATATAAAACCTAAACATCA